TTATTGCCTCAGTACCTGTGTCTTTCCCAGGTGAAACTGGTTTGCAACCCACCATGATCTCCCAGAAATCCTTCACAAAGGCTGCATTTGGATCTGTATATGGGCTAATACTTGTAAGAAATGGTTTTAGATTTGGAATTGCCATCTTCTGCACCACAAACCCCAGGGCACCACCAAAAGCTTGGTAGATTTCAGGGGTGGAAGGTCGAGATGCTGTTATCCAGGCCTCACTGGCAATCCACTGAATTCCTGTAATATTCTGTTTCACAACCTCTTTCATCAAAGGGTAAAAGTCACCCTCTGGAACAAAAGCAAGAATGACTTTGGCAGTTGAATGCTTGATCATTTCCACAACATCCAGAATTTTATCCATAGTGTACGTACGTAGAACTGTCCCGACAAATTCAATACAAACCCCAAGCTTTCTAACCTCTTCAGTAAAAGCCAGGATTCCATTTCGCCCATAGTCATTGTCTGACTGTATGGCCCCAATCCACTGCCAGCCAAAATGTTTGACTAATGCTGCCAAAGCTTTTGCCTGGAAATAGTCGCTGGGAATTGTTCGAAAAAATGTAGGATATTTAGCTCTGTCACTCAGGCAGGCACATGTTGAGAAGTAACTTACCTATAAAAAAAACATCAAAACAAATGTGAAAAAACATTTTAAGACAAGCACTACATAAGCATCACTTATCACACTATGATGCAAATAATTCTTACTATTGGCACTTGAAATGGTCCAAGAGTTCCAGCCACAGCTAAAGACTGAGATGATCCTGACTCTGCTATGAGAGCAGATATAGCTGGAGGACAAGGGGAAGTCAACTCTATCTCCTCTGGTCTACTAGCCAGTGTTAGTGCAGCACGTAAAGTATTTGTTGGAGATGCACAAGAGTTGAGGATCCTATAGCCAAGAGATATGTTTGGCAGGAGAGCAGGATCATTGTTGATTTCTTCAATTGCAAATATCATCACTTGGGCCCACCGAAAAGCTCGCAGGTCAAATCTAAAAAGGTTTTCGTGATTGAAATATGTTTTAAGATTACAAAGCTATTGCTATACATGTACATACAATGGCACATTTGTAAGAGAAGAGCAGAAAAACCTGTATAAAGTATGGAAAAGTCAGATGGATTAAAACTTACCCTGCACACTTCACTCCAGGTGGCTCACTCTCGAACGTAAAAGTGTCACTTATCTCCTTGTTTAAAACTGGGAAAATCCCCCCGATCATTATGTCTCCCTGCTTGAACAAACTTGGCATGTTAAACCTACCAAACAGTTCACAGCCAGAAACTGTGTTCAGGTACAGAACAAATAGTGATAAGGTAACAGCTCTGTCCAGTTTTGTCATGATTGCTTGGCATTTTTAAAAGAAATCAGGACACAGCTCTTATAACAACAGCCTCAGATGCAGGTACTGTAGATGTGCTGTCTTCATAAAAGGTTGATGTTTTTCCCACAGGGCACAGCAATCTGAGATTGGGAGGAATAATGCAACAGGGAAGGGTGATTGCTATATTCAGGAAATACAATACATACACTAATGCGGACATACACACACTCACAATATAGAGTCAGACCCACACAAAATGTACATTTGGTTTGCTTACTGACAGACCACTCACTAGTTAAATGCCAGCAATCCATGGGCATAGTTAAGTTTCTAAAATACTTTGGTAATGTGCTTTGGTCTTCATAATGAAGAAAAGAAGCACCTTAGGAGAGGCATATCTGAAGGCTATTAAATTAATGCAGTCCTGAGAAAGCTTTCAGAAGGAGGTAAATACTGCAGCATTAGTAAAAAGAGAGCATAGGTTTCATTTGAAATTTGGTAGGGACATTCTTTGTGTGTTTCAAGGATAAAACATCAGACACTACTTTAAAAAAGAAAGTTGGAAAAGAGGCTATAATAAGTACAAGCGAACAGTGAACAGCCCCTTTTCAGAAGCTGAGGATATCAACAAATGAAACATCTGCTACTTCCGGTGTTGAAATGAAGAAGAAGCATTTCATACATTATAAAGAAGCTGTGGACAGCAGATACTGTAAGAATCATTCATTCATAAACTATTGTCAGCTTTGTCACGACTGTGTCTCCATTATGAGTCTATGTAAATTGTTAACATATATTCAGAGGTTTAGTCTGACCTTAAATGTCTTTAAGGGGGGCGGGGGGGGGGTGGCAGAGGGTGCGGCTGCTTCGGGCCTACCATTCTCCACAGTTACAAAGGCCTTTGTTGTTTAGCTTATTTCTTTAAATAATGCATGTAGCACAGGTATTTGATGGAGAGATAGCTTTAACTATGTCACTCTGTGGTTCATCAGAAGGTTTCAAACTGAGTAAGAATTCACCAAGACCTGGTATGGATGCCTGAGGAAGAGCAAATCCCATTGCCCCCTCTTGCCCCTGTCTTGACAGAAGCCACGTCTGCCTATGTGATCCAAGTCTCTCTGTCAACCCACTACTTTCCAGTTATGGTATGTTATAACTATATATAAGGAACGATTTAGTGACATAAACAACAGGACCACCTTAAACGAGGATTCCTGTGTGGGCTTAATATGTTTATGTCTTTACCTAACTCCAGAGGATGAATGGCCCTAAAAAAGCCTGAATGTGACCACTGCATGTTTTCATTTCCACAGCCATTGCACAGCCTAAAGCCCAGACTCTCTCCTGGTCATTCAACCTGCGCACACAGTGTTACGTGTTGCCACATCACTGATAAACAAGTAATTACAGGTGATGTTTCTGCAACATAACACTCATAAAATTCTATTTCCTATAACATTGCATACATATTTTAAGCACAGTCACACTGCCCGATCACTTTGCATGTTTGGTTGTCTGACTTTGTCCTTGCCAGAAGAATAAATAAGGTAATAGTGATCCAACACATCATTAGCCAAGAAATTCTGACCTTGCTTTTTCTATCATAAATGAAACATCACCAGTAAGCAGTCAATAATTATTTTGTTTGTCACTCATCACTACATCTATACTTAAATGTATACTGCTTATTGGCATGTAGAACAAAGAAAATTGAAAATCAACTCAAGTGTTTTTTAGGTAGTGAAGTACTAAGTGCATTTTGAGGACATGCTGTACTAGTCATTAGACTTCTCAGTCACTCAGAAAAGGCTGGCTCAGGATCTCTACACTCTAATCCACTGGGGCATAGTTAAGTTTCTAAAATACTTTGATAATGTGATTTGGTCTTCATAATGAAGAATAAAAGTATCTTAGGAGAGACATTTCTGAAGGCTATTAAATTAATGCAGGGCTGAGAAAGCTTTCAGAAGGAGGTAAATACTGCAGCATTAGTAAAAAGAGAGCTTGAAATTAGCCTGAATTAGTAGACTTTACTAGAAAATTATCTGGAAACGTGTTTTCTGAAGTCTAAATTGTATAAGATCACTTTTTAAATTTAAACATACATTAAATAACAAATATTATATATATTATATAGTATTTGTCACTACTATAACTACTATCTCTATTAGTAATGTAATTGTTTCTAATGTATTATTTTGATTTGTTTGGAGGAAGAATATAAACATTTAACAATATCTGCTATATCCTTGTGAACAACTGGACACACATATTATTATTATTATTATCATTTTCTCATTTGATTTATTTCATTTGTCTATTGCCAGTGAAATTTATCAGTATGTATGGAGTCTGGAATGTGTCAAAATTATGATTTTATTGTGTGCATTACAATTTATATTTTGTGACTGCTTTAACTTTTAAACTTTTAAACATTTGCAACAAATAAAACTTATCAAGTCAAATTCCCTGCAACCCTATATATGAAATGCTTAACAAAGCAACACTGGGAGCAGCTGTTCTTTCTATGTGTATATATTTATTTAAATTCATTAGTGGGATATGACCATTTTATAAGACATTAATACAAATGAAAACAAGTGTCCATACAAGTGTTCCTTGCTGTCAGAAATTGTGTAAAATGGTGGTAGGGCTAATACAAATGTAGCCTTATAACATTCAACTGTCATTGACTTCAATAACTAGAATGTTTATTATGGTAGTGTCAGGTAAATGTAATTATGCTCAAACTTAAATATTCACAAAGAGCACCATCTCCTCAGCCGTGGAGGATGTTAATGAGACTGATACACTACACTTGCATATCTATTTTTGTTGTGTTTTTCGGGGGGAATGCAACTGTTTGAATGAGACCACCAAGTTAAAATGCTCTTGTCTAGACCTGCTCTATTTGAAAAGTGTCATGAGAGAACTTCTGTTATGAATTGGCACTATACAAATAAAATTGAATTGAATTGAATTGAAATTGTTAAATAAACTGGTTGGTAAAGCTGCATGTTTAGAGGGTGGAAATGAAGGAAAAACAGAACATTATAGATTCAATGATTTTTGTATCTACATTTTTCACAATTTTCACATCATATTAAACTTTACATACAGTATGGCAGGTTTGGGTGCATTTTTGCTAAATGAACCTGCTGATCTTAATAATAAGTACGTAATTTGTTGGTACCCTTGAATTGTGTAGACAGGTTATGAGTTGCAAATTTAAGAGGACATTCAAAAAATTCAGTTTCAACAGGATGGATTGTAACAAACTGGGAAGTGAGATAAACACAAAAAATAAAGTAGCCAGTAGCTCTATATTCCCTAGCACAGCCCAGGATCTTAGTGTTGATCCTACAGTATCATCAGCAAGTATGTCGTCAAACCAGCGTTTTACATTGTTATTTGGAAAAGGAGGATTGAAAGTCAACCAGATAAACAACACAGTAACAGGCAGAGCCCTAAATTGCTGCTGTGTTGTACAAAACAATTTCATGACAGTATGAGCAGCCCTGCAGGCAATTAACACATGTACAGTACTTCCCAGAGTGCAAGAGAGGCAGATGACAAAAGAGATCCCAACAGCTATCCGGGACAACTCAGTGGGCTGATGGATGGATGGAAAACAGCGTAGTGTCATGGTAAAAAGCATTACCATTGTGGAGTTACTGCCATGAGCAGGATGGACTCTGTTTGGGGATATTGTTATTCTTGTCATGTAGATTCCAAGCAGTAATGCAGCTGCCAGAAAAAATCTTGCAACCCATCTGCTGGTGTCCATAGGCTGCACACTCTTCATCCTGCCTGTGTAATCCATAAATTTAATGCCATCATAAAAAAATGTTTTAGATTATTATGTAACTTTTTCAGGAAATTAAAGCATGTTTTTCTTTTAATGTATACAATCTTTGTTTTTACTATTACCTGTTTGTGTTAGAAAGGCTTCTTTTGGACAGTGTGGTAGATAGAACTTAGATGGCATCTGTCGACAAAATAAATGAGTTACTACAGACACATTACACATTCATGCAAATACATTTGGGTGACAGTATAGTATACTGTGAGATGATATACATCTTCTATACCATTTGTACTGTGGTAACTGCTTCATGGTGATATTGTATTTACAGAATAAAGTATTTGCATTACTGCATATACATTTACAAAAAAGGAGAGATATCTACAGCTATGTCTATGGATGATTTCTCATTTAAGCTTCTAATGAATTACTATATCACAGTATATTCCTGTATCACAATATAGGCTACAATTTTATATACTTTAATATCAGGGACGAGCCCTGCTGATACTGTGAAACACACTACTGTTAAGAGACAGAGGCAGAATTAAGACACTGCACATATATAGTGTAGGTGTACATGCAAACCTGCACAAAGCAGATCCTGACAAAAGCCCTGTTTGATTCTTCTGAAGACATCAGCCTCACTTCGCTCTCAGACAGGTTAAAGATTAGGAATTCTGGAAATGTAGGTGCAAAGTTTCTGCACAAAAAGCCTTGCAGGATTTTCATCTCAAGGTGGAATGCCTTGCAGATGCAGATACAATCCATTGTTTTCCAGTGGTCCACTAGAACATGGGTAATGATGTGGGAGCTTTGATCCATAGACCTCAGAACAGCTGAAGGACGGATACTTCTGTGATTATCAGTTTTTATCTACATGAAGGAAAATGACACATAATGTAATTAATACATTTCATAATAAATTAGCATGAGCAGAATAACACTTTCCAAACAAGAATGGCAATTAGTGTTAACTGCTCTAAATAGAAATTTAATTTAACATACAGTTTGATGAATACGATTGCTCTTAACCTCTACATCTGGTGCTCACCTCTATTGTAAGTAGGAGATGTTCGGTCCTAGATAGGAAATACACCAAATACTGCTGGAATTGACACTGGCAGACAGGAATGCTTTGCTTCTCTCCATTCACAGTCTCCTTCATTCTTTGCAAGAGGTTCACAGCGTCATTATAGAGGATGCAATTTAAAGTCAAACCAGCAAAGAGGGTACAGTCTTTTATGATCATGTCCTGTGTGAACTTCCTCTCTAAGGCAACTTTCAATTCAGGAGCCCTAAAGAGACAAACAGAAAAAAGAACAACTTACAAACATCAGTTCTTGATCACATTAAGTAGCAAATTATCACACATACATGACCCTCAACCCTTGTTGCCAAACAAAAACTAAACTGGCATTTAAAAGGCCACAACATTGTGAACTATAGGTAAAGCAACATCTTCAAATCCAACAGTGCAACCTGGAAACCATAAAACCTGGGAGACTGTTACTTTGTAATTTTACAGTAAATTGACTTCAAATTGTAAATGACTCATCAAAGCTCCTCTAGAGATTGTCTAATTGTCTTTTGAGGGGTCTCTCAATGTGGTGTTTAGGCCCCCATAATTCAAGCTGGTTCCCCGCTGAGGAAATCATTAAATTACAGGCTAATTGCTGATGAATCTGTGGGAAACCACATAGGTCCTTGACAAAAAAGCAAGTAATGAGCAAGAAGTAGAGGAAAGGGAGAAAACATTAAACATCATAATGTATCAACAATTTACTCACCTCTTACATGTCAGTGTCAGTTTTGTTTTGTCATGAATAACACCGTTTTTATACGATGTATTTGAGCTGATGCCCTTTGTCTCTTCATCGTGCCCATACTGACTGATCTCAGAACACTGGTCTAGTATGACCCATGTGCCAGATGACACCATCCAAGTGAACAGTGTTAAGAAGACAAATGTGACTGTTGTCATCTCAGAGTCTCGCCTTTGGCACCATCAGGTTTCTTGCATCGATGTGTTTTATAGCTTCCTCTCTGCTACTCAGGTGTAGGAGGCAACTCAGTCGGCTATCCTCAGAGGAACATGGAAATATTTGTTTTTTGCATAAGACCCGAAGGATGTCAGGCATGAAGAATGAATGTGACAAGAATACACATGGGCCCTGTTTCCAAAGTAATAACATCTAAACCCTAGGTTCCGAGTGTTTGCTGAGGCTGACTTGGATAAAGCCATTATGTTTTTGCTGTTGATTCTGTGAACCAGCACTTAATTGTGAGTGCATGTGTATGACTGTTAAGTGCACATAAACACTGAATACATTTGAATCATTTAATTCTCATGTAAGCTTAACATATGTGTCAAAATTTATGAGACTGTGACAAGTTAATTGGTTAACTATCTGGTAATGATTACATGTATGAAAAGGACAAAATTAATGAATCGTTCTGTCTGTCACTACCACATGGTCAGGGGTGACGTCTAATACACACAAACACTGGGAGCAGATTAATTATTATTAATTAATATTTCAAGTTTCTGCTCATTATGAGCTGGATGATAAAATTATATTAGAATATAATTTTACATTTAGGAAAAATTTCATGGGCTACCTGAGTAAAATCAGATTATTGAAAAACAACTGGTTGGTCAACTGGTGACTAGTTAAATCTTTGCTTATTATATCACAAGCATAACATATAATTGTAATACAATCCACAATCATGCATGAATTAAGTGCTTGAATAGGTGGACATGTTCAGCCATTTGCAGCGGAGCCATATGCAGCAAAACATTTTGGGCTACACTTTGGTGTGGCAAAAACTCCTGCACCCTTGAGGACATAGGCACATGAAACATCATACAGACCTGATGTCTGTTTATATATAAACATATTATATCATATCAGAATTATAGCTTGTGTATTTTCAGATTTGTGGAAAAAAAAATTAACATTAAAATAAATTTACCATAATCTTGAAGAAAATGTCTTTCCCTTTCACCTAATAATAATAAGTCAGTAAAAAGATGCGGACACATAGCATGTTTGGTTTCAGTGAATTTTTATTAAAGCTTTGATTGAAAACCAACAAAATGGTGAAGTCAAATTTTCCATTTCAGAATTTATTTTGCTGACATAATATTTTGTTTATTTTCCTGAAAAGTTATATCATGTATTATTTACATTTAGGAGGGAACTGGTTCAGGATTTGTTATAATAATATACATGTAGTAACATACATTACCTTACATGTGCACTAGTGTGAAACAGAAATAAGAAATATATGTTGGTGAGTGGGGATACTCAAATAGTTATGCAATTAAAATTAAGATCAGAAATGTATTAAGTATGTATTATTACTTTCAAACATTATGTACAACATATTGGATATTAACATTATTTCAGGAAAATGGTATATTCCTTTACTATTTTAGAACTAAGCACTGAATAATAAACACAATTGGGGAAAAAAGAAAAAAAAAAGGAATTCCAACAATGTAAAATTAACAATGAATATCTTTTGTTTTGCCCATCATATGCTTTTTGGTATTTTGTTCTGGCCTCAGTAAAATAATAAAGCATTTGGGGATGAAAATGCAGAAAAGAAGTCCATAACTTGAGGCCAGAATGGCAAATATCTCTACAGCTACAGTGAACTTCCCAGGAGAGCTGACGTATGCTGGGATAAAGGTGATCCAGACTGCACAGAATATCAGCATGCTGAAGGTGATAAATTTGGCTTCATTAAAATTCAGGTAACTTTCGAGCCAGAAAAGCGAGAACAAAACACAAAACAGCAAGGAGTCCTATGTATCCTAACACGGCCCAGAACCCTACAGGTGATCCCAGGGCACACTCAAGAATAATCTTCTCCATGTAATGGTTCATATTTTTGAAGGGAAAGGGTGGGTTGATTGTCAGCCAAAGTATGCAAATCAAAACCTGTATGAGAGTGAAAGCCAGGACACTGAGCCTCTGCTGTGCAGGACCAAACCATTTCATCATATTAGCGCCTGGAAGTGTGGCTTTGAAGGCCATTAACACTACTATTGTTTTCCCCAGAACACAAGAGATACAGAGGACAAAGGTGATGCCGAATGCGGTGTGTCGCAGCATGCAGGACCACTCAGAGGGCCGGCCGATGAAGGTCAGAGAACACAGGAAACACAGAGTCAATGAGAAGAGCAGCAGGAAGCTCAGCTCAGAGTTGTTGGCTCTGACAATAGGAGTTTCCCGGAAGTGAAAGAACACTAATGCTATCATAGTTGTCAAAATTACCCCCATCAAACAAAAAAATGTTAAAATGATCCCCATGATCTCTTCATAAGACAGAAATTCAATCTCCTTTAAGATGCATGTGTCTCCTCTGGTATTTGGCCAATAATCAATGGAACATTTGAGGCACTCCAAAGAGTCTGTTTTTGAAAGACACAAACACATTAATCAGGTCCAATGTAAGTTAAGAGGGTAAAGCACATTCTAGATACTTTTAAAATCTGAATAAAACCTGTAATGTTGCTGATTTCCCCTTCTGCACATGGGATACAGTCATAACAGCAAACAGGTTTTCTTTTCTGCAGGACTTTGCGTTTTCCTGGGGGACATCTCTCACTGCACACTGACACTGGCACCTGGTGCATGAATATGTGGATGAGCTGTATGTGACCTACAGTGTGTTCAATTTTTAGTATTGATGTTCACATGAATTTCATGAAGAAACAAATAAAGATGTTAACCAGAATGTTATTGTCTGGGATTATGACATATTATGCAGTATGGAATTGTGACTAACAACCCAGAAATGTGAGAACAAAGTAATATGAATATATACCGTATGACTTCCTCCTCCCCACACTATTTTCATGCCATTCATTATAAATGGACGCACACCAGGCAAAGTGGCATCAAAAACACCAACTGTGGCAACATGCATGGTCTCTGAGGTTAAATGTTGTAAATTTATAAGTTCATATCTTGCAGGTGAATCTCCATTCTGGTCAAAAGTCACTCTTTCACCCTGACTTGTTGTGAAGTTGATATTCTGCAAATAATGTAGCACCTGTAGAGAAGAGGAGGGACTTAAAGACATCAGGCTCTTTTTCTTTGTAATCTCATGTCATTTCATATGGTATATAAACAAATCAGTGATTATAAAAAACAATAACCATTTTTATTTCTCACCTGCCATGGTTGAGCGTGTTTAGAGTCAGCACAGCTCCCATTGTAGAAGGGGCTCTTACCCTCTTCACATGTGACCAGGTTGTGGAGAGCATGGGCCACTGCATAAACTGACTTGTAAACATTATTAGTGAATCTCAGCTCAGAAACATCTGTAAAATATGATTCAATGTTCTGCAAGCTCTCAGAGCCACTGCATGGCTTTCTTTGTGTGTTTGCGGTTTCATTCAGAGCACAGTCAAACATGTCTTCCCAAAAATCTCTAACAAACTGACTGTCAGGAAACTGTGAGGGATGGAGCTGCCTCAAGTGCTTCTCCAATCCCGGGATCTTAGTTTGGCTGACAGCGAAGCCCAGGGAGCCCACCAGGAGGCTACGTCCCTCACTGTCAGTCAGTGAGTGATCTGTGATCCAGGCATCAGTGCCAACCCACTGCAGTCCCATAATGTTCTGTTTGTAGAACTCAGTCGCCAGCACTTTAACTTCTCTGTGGGACATGAAGGCCACAATGACTTTAGAGGTGGAGTGCTTCACAATTTCAACTAATTTTGTTAACTCATGACGAGGACCTGATTGTTCAAATGACTGGTAATACTCAATGCACACTCCCTCTTCTTGTGCAGCTTGTATAAATGTGGTGATCCCGTTGATACCATAGCGGTTTTTGTTACTTATTGCCCCCACATAGGACCAGCCGAAATGCTTGATAAGCTTTGCCAGGGCTCTGCTCTGGTGGAGGTCACTAGGAATAGTTCTGAAGAAGGATGGAAACTCCTCTCTGTTGCTGAGACAAGCACAGGTTGCAAAGTGGCTGAGCTGTGCAAAAGGAATGTAAAGAAATTCTGTTCATTACACATTAATCATCTAGAAGACATCACATATATTACAACATCATACAATAACTTATAATAAGTGAATAAAGAAGAATCTTGACTCAAAAGACATGATTTACAAACTGCTTTTACATGGCCTCTTTAATATTGTTTTTTATGTATACACAAGTAAAATAAAATATTTACCACTGGTATCTGGAACCTTCCTATAATCCGAGCAAATCCCACCGTGGGAGCAGAGCCAGAGTGGCCTAGTACAGCCTGTGCAGTGTCAGCGTTTGTACAGTTCCTCTCATCTATGATTTCCTTCTGCCCACTGGCTAAAACTATTGCAGACTTAATAATGTTTGTCTTTCCACAGGAATTGTATATCTTGTAGCCCAATGTGTGGTTGGGGAGAATAGCAGGATTTAGATTTATTTCCTCAATTGCAAAGATCATTGTCTGGGCAAATTTGAATTCTCTTACATTGATGCTGGAAAAAAAGATAACATGTTTTAAATTACGGGTAATTTGATTTGCAATTTTATTTTTAAACAGGAAAGCACATAACAGAACAAAAACACATACTTACTGCAGACACATTGGAGGTTCAGGTAAGGTTTGAAAGGTGGGCCTGCTGCCTCTGTACCCAGTACGAAAGGTGAAAATGCCACCTAAGTTGAAGTCTCCAGACTCCCCCCTATTGATCAGAAGAGCCAGGAGGACCAGCTTCAGTAGTGGCATTGTTTCACTCTGCAAGCTGGCCTCTTTAACTGTGCCCCATGTGGCGGTCTTTATACCCTGCCAAGGCCTTTTCAGCCTAGTTCATATTCTTTCTCATGTATGTGGATCTGCTGCTTTAGGCAAATGAGGCATGTGCCCCCAGGGGAAAGAGAAAAGGGGTGTCACAAAATGCTGTTCATTTGCCTTATTATTTCATTAGTGTGTTGAAATCAGATATGGAGCAGCTTCTGTCGATGGATTCTTTTGGGTCATAATTTTTCAATGAATCGCAGCCATATGGTGTTAGAAAACTTTAAAGATTTGTCATATTTTACACATTAAAGATGATCTCTCTGAGCAGTATGTAATTTAATTCTGTAATACTAATTAAAGTTTTATTTTAATACAAAATTCTGTCTACCAGTCAAAACATATGAGTGATGTGCACACCTAATAGCACAAATGTTTTTTAAATACATATCTTTTTAAAGACCGTCTTTTCCTTTGACACAGCGGTCATGTTTTCGGTGCTGTTTGTGTGTTTGTTACTTAGCAGGATGTCTCAATTTGAGCAGAATTTTATAGGCAATGAATCCCAAGTCATATATGTGCTGTTTTTCCATGATTGACTATCAGTGTTTGCATTTTGATGCCCACCCAGATCCAGATGCAGATTAAACATTTTTTTAATATTAAAACTCTGAATTTAGTGGATTGTGAAGTGTTTTGCAGGTATTCAATTTTTATTTCTATAGCGCCAATTGTTGTTGAGGTATGCTCTCTATAAGTTTTTGATCACATACGTGTGCTAATCACATTTCTACTACATACTGTAAACAATGAAATAAAACAAATGTATAAATGTCAGACCACATAAACATTGCTTTGTGGCCAAACAGTGTTGTATGCTCCTTGCTCCAACTAGAGAGGTGGAGAGCCAAACTGATCTAAAATCAATTAATGATTAATACGATTGTACTGCTTCCTTCCTTCGTCAGCCAACCTGTTCAAAAAAAACAACAACAACCTGTAACTGCAAAATGACGTGTAATACTAAGTTGTGTAATTGTTTTGCTTATTATCTAAAGTTATGTTAAGTAGGGAAGAAGGAAAACTCCAATTTGAATTTAAAACAACCAGAATATACAGGTCATATGCTGTGGTGCATTTGTTGGGCCTACACCTTCTCTAAAGTTTGAGAGTAATAACTCATAATGTTGCATAATGTTAGAAACCTAAGCCCCTGTGGACAGTGGCTGCCATTGGATAGGAGATTTAGGACCCTCATGGTGTCCCAGGGCTCTCTAACTAAAGTGTGAGTAATCTGAAACTTCATCGATAGCTACATATAATTTTATTACATAGTTTGAAATTTAAAAAATAAACACAACATTTAATTTAGGTTACTGAATGGCAGGGTACAGCAAACATGATGTCAGAGAGAGAAAAAAGAGAGAGAGAGAAAAACAATAACAAGTTAGGAAGTGACAGAGAGATCAAAACAAACCCCTAATTGATTTGAATGTAACATTTACATGTTGTGACAAAGGTGTTAATTAATATTAAAGCAATATGCCACCTGTTGTTCTTGTTGTTGTGTTAAAGGATAAAGCCATCACCAATGTTTAATCCCTTGTGTCTGCGTTTTGGGGCCCTGGTGCAGCTTCCCACCCTAGAGGCAAGCCACTGGGTAATGAAGTGATGCTCACAACAGATGGGGATTTATTTTTCTTCAGCTGTTTTTCTTCTGTGTTGTTTTTGTCTATGCACTTGTGTAACCTTTACTTCTGTTGGATTGCATCATTGTATTGAACTTTGAGTATCAGTTTCAGTGCATTGTTTTGTAATAAACACCAGGGGGATTCTGGGGCTTTGTTAAAATAATATAAAGTTTCTGAATTAGACAGTTGTTACATAATACTTCAGAAACATTTGTTCTAAACTGTGGTCATATGCTTTGACACGTTTGTAGCCAGTCTTGGCTACAAGTAAGTGGCAGTGGATTATGGTCAATTTTGCACTCTAACCAATAGCTATCCCCATTCTAACCACATTCCAATACCTTAAGGCAACATGTTCTGTACAGTGCCCACCTTTTCATCTGTCTATACAGTACCAGCCACTCAGAATTGCAGCCCCCATATATCTATTAACTTCATTCAGATAATCACGGGCCTGTCATGGACCAGTTGGCAATTGTAGGCCGCTACCTCTGTACCTGACCTGGAATGGAATAACCAAAAAAATCCTCTTGGGACTGCAGTCATTTTTTTTCTTCTTTCTTTTAGTGTACCACCTTGCCAAGTTAGTGCAACTATTACTAAATGCAATGACAATATGATTATATAGTGTTGCTGTTGGTGCCAGTAGTTTACCAATGTTGGAGGCTTATTTTCTGTGTGCTTAGTTGTGGAGGGGTGTGGATAAATGTGTAAAAAAAAAAAAACAGAACAGGCTTGAATATAATTATGAGATTCATTCACTGAAACAAATTAGAATGCATTAAGGAATGCTATCAGATTACATTTTGGTTACAGAAAAAACACTACAGCAAAAGAGACAAAATAGTGCGATTGTCAAAGTGATTTAGACAATGGTTAATGATGTATTTCATAACTAGATGTCTTCCCCATTATGTGTTTCTTAGTGTTCTGCTCAGGCCTAAACAAAATTATATAACATTTTGGTAGAAAAATGCAGAAAAGTAGCCCATAACTGGATGCCAGAATAGCAAATATCTCAACAACTACTGTGAACTTCCCAGGAGAGCTGGCGTACGCTGGGATGAAGGTGATCCATACTGCACAGAATATCAGATGCTAAAGGTGATAAATTTTGGCCTTCATTAAATTATCAGGCAGTTTCCGAGCCAGAAAAGCAAGAATAAAACATAACATGGCCAGAAGTCCTATGTACCCAAGTACAGCCCAAAAGCCTACAGCTGAGCCCAGAGCACACTCTAAGATGATTTTGTCCTTATAGTGCAAAAAATTCATGGAAGGAAAAGGAGGGTTGATTGTGAGCCAAAGTATGCAAATTACAACTTGTATAAGAGTGAAACCCAGAACGCTGAGTTTCTGCTGTGCAGGCCCAAACCATTTCATCAAATTACTACCTGGAAGTGTGGCCCTGAAGGCCATTAACACCACTATTGTTTTCCCCAGAACACAAGAGATACAGAGGACAAAGGTGATGCCGAATGCGGTGTGTCGCAGCATGCAGGACCACTCAGAGGGCCGGCCGATGAAGGTCAGAGAACACAGGAAACACAGAGTCAATGAGAAGAGCAGGAGGAAGCTCATCTCAGAGTTGTTGGCTCGTACTAGTGGGGTTTCTTTGTGGCAGTAGAAGACTAATGTTGTGATCATAGTTAGAAAAACTCCCAGCAGAGAAAATAAGACTAACAATGTTCCCAAGATTTCATCATATGCCAAGAATTCTATTGCTTTGGGGACACAGGCATCTTTCTGCTCATTGGACCAGTATACAGATGGGCATTTCATACAGTGTATTGAATCTGCAAAATGAAAAAGAATTAGTTAAATGTTTTGGTTTTAACAGCACATTAAATTTCTGATTTTTTGCTTTGTTTTACCTCATGTCATTATGTGTAATATAACGATTGATTGAAATACTGGTAAAGAGTTTATTTGCCTGTTAAATTACTGATCTCGCCTGCTGGACAGGGTATGCAATCATAACAGCAGACTGGCTTTCCTTTCTGGAGGACCTTACAAGTTCCTGGGATACAGCTATCACTGCACACTGACACAGGTACTCCCTACACATAACCACAGTTCAGATCAACACAAATTATATGCAATCCATATAATATGTACAGATAGCACAAACATCCATATCAAGGTTTTTATAACATTAAATCAGTTAACAGTTAAGAAGTCCAAAACTCGGTCTGTGCTTTACCTCTGTCAGCCCACTTCTCCAAACAACTGGGATGTTATTCATGATAAACTGATGACCCTCTGGAAGAGAAGCATCATAAATGCCAACTGTTGCTCCTTCCATGGTTCCTTTGTTTGTTATTTGTAAATTAACAAGTTCATATCTTGCTGGTGAGTCGCCATTACTGTCAAAATAAACTTTTTCCCCTTCCTTGGTGGTAAAATTCACAGTGTTAAGATAGCGCAAGACCTAAAGGAATTATACCGGGATTAAATTACATTAAATTATAATTATTATTGCTGTTATCACTCTGTCACACTTAACTGGCTTCTCACCTGCCATGGTTGAATGTGTTTGGTATCAGCACAGCTCCCATTTGAAAAGAGCCCTTTACCCTCCTCACATTTAATCAGGTTGTCAAGAGCATGAGCCACTGCGTAAACTGACTTGTAAACATTATTAGTGAATCTCAGCTCAGCCACATCAGTAAACTGTGATTTATCATTCTGCAAGCTCTCAGAGGTGCTGCATGGCTTTCTTTGTGTGTTTGCAGTTTCATTCAGAGTGCAGTCAAAAATGTCTTCCCAGAAATCTCTAACAAACTGACTGTCAGGAAATTGTGAGGGATGGAGCTGCCTCAGGTGCTCCTCCAGCCCTGGCATTTTAGCTTTGCTGACAGTGAAGCCCAGGGAGCCCACCAGGATGATGCGTTCCTCACTGTCAGTTAGAGAGTTATCTGTGATCCAGGCATCACTGCCAACCCACTGCAGTCCTGTAATGTTCTGTTTGTACAGCTCATTTGCCAGCAATTTAATTTCTCTGTGAGACATAAAAGCCATAATCACTTTGGAAGTGCCACGTTTAATAATCTCTATTATTCTCTGCAGGCTATGAGGTGGATCCGATGATGAAAATGCTTCAAAATACTCAATGCAGACTCCATATTCTTGTGCTGCTTGGATAAACGCAGCTATGCCATTGAGGCCATATTCGTTATCCACAGCTAAAGCCCCAATCCAGGTCCAACCGAAGTGCTTGACCAGCTTTGCCAGTGCTCTGCTCTGGTAGTAGTCACTGGGAATAGTTCTGAAAAAAGTGGGATACTCTTTCCTGTCGCTCAGACAGGCACATGTGGCAAAATGGCTGATCTGCAGTGTAAGATGCAAACATGTTAGTGGCACTGAAAGAACACATATTTAACATTCTTGCATCACTATTTACATTTATGCTGCAGTTATAAATTTGTTGCAACTGTAACTGCTCATTTGTATTTTTTTTAACTGTGACTGTAAACTATAAATATGTCAGCACACTTAACACAATGTTGAAATTAAATGATCTTTCTTCTCTAACTTACCACAGGTATCTGAAACCTTCCAACAACTTGTGAAAATGCAATAGTTGGTCTTGATCCTGAATGTCCCAAGATAGCTTGCACTGTCTCAGTTTTAGTGCAGTTGTCACTGAAGTTTCCCTTTAGTCCACTTACCATTGCCAATGCAGCTCTCAGTATGTCCATTGTTCCACAGTTATCATAGATCTTGTAGCCAAGTTTAACATTAGGGAGCATATCAGGATTTTTGTTGATCTCATTTATAGCAAATATCATTGCTTGAGCAAATTGAAATTCTCTAAAATTGAAGCTGGGGTGGTGAAAGATAGAATGAAATAATCTTATATTTATGTTACTGTCTCAAATACAGTACAAACACATAAACCATTTAAAATATATAGACATATCAATACATACTTGTTGCATTTTCGTACTTCTGGAATTGTCTGAAATGTATTAGTTACATAATCCTGCCCTGTGCGAAAAGAAAAGATGCCTCCAATAAGAAGGTCACCATCTTGGGCCAGTTCAGCTCGTTGTGGTGAGCCTTGCAGACGACATACAGAGTCTCCCCTCCCCATTAGCAGAACCAACAGGAGCAGCCTCAACAATGACATAGCTCTGCTCTACAGGCCAGGCCAAACAGCTCTACATTTCATGGCGAGGCTTTATACACGTTCAACAACAAGGGGGGAGATGTCATGGTTAAACTCAAGTCTCAAGAGACCACACAAAACCAAGCAAGTTCAACAGCAGATGTTTTCATCTGTGAAACTGTGGATTTTATTCTTTCTTCTTTCTTTATATATATATATATATATAGCAACAAATGAAATATTATACGGTTAAAAAATCCTACAATAGTACAAGGCAAAGTATTGTATGTAAATGTTATTGTAAAAATTAAAACAGCATATCTTTGCCACCCTGAAGTGTTCAGGATGATTTTGGTATCCCCTTCCCCATCATATTCTTTTT